TTCCCAAGAACAAACCAATCTATATCAGGGCTATGAGAAATTGTAAATGTCAAAATGAGACCACAATCACCCACCATCACTGCAGTTGCTGACTCCCTAAAAGGTTGCTTGGCAGCAAAAAATATGTGGCCTCTTACTACTATGGGTAGTAGGATGCTCACCAATTCAGAATATGAATGGCTGTGTTATTTTTTCCCCACAGTGGCTTCCTTCCCTGCCCTGGCAGCACTGGTTCTCATCCATCAGCCTACTGGAGTTTGTAGCAATGGCTCATTTGTTCATAGAAGTCACAGATAAATATCAGTAATGCTTGAATTAACAGAACACTCAGATTTCCACCAATATCATCAGAAGATAAGAAAATATCCTTGGCAGTTATACCTTCTTTCTAATATTGTAATACACAGACAACGGCTATTCGGGGGAAATAAAAAAATATCTGAAAAATCTTTTTGTTGTGTTAGCTGTAGTAGCAAGAGTCCTGGTGTCATAATGTGTTATCCATTGAGCTGCTTACTGAGAGGTCAGCAGTTGGAACCTGCCAGCAGGTTATGCACAAGATGAGGCTTTGCTCTCCAAAATGTACCACCTCTGAAATCCGAAGGAGTTCTACTTTGTCCTATAGAGTGTGAGACAGAATTGACTTGCTGGCAGCGAGTTAAATTATGGAATATAAGCAATCAAGAACAGGCCTCCTGGAATTATGAAAAACCATCCCTCCTCCCTGACACAAAAGGGGATAGTGGCAGTACTGCCAACCGCCTTGGAACTCAAGTGTCCCTTTTCGCTTAGTGGGGTGTCATTTCTAAAAGACTCCAAGGCCACAAGGTTACTGTACATTTATGGTACCTCCTCAACCCCATCTACCTCTAAATATCTTGCTAATTCCACCCACCTCTTTCTGACAGATAGTGAACCAATCAGGCATGATAGAATTTCCCCCATGGGTTTCTGAGACTATAACTCTTTACAGGAATATAGTCTCACCTTTTCTCCTGAGGGGTGGCTGGTGGTTTTGAACTGCTGACATTGCCCAACAAGTAACCCAATGGAATCCACTCAATGGCAAGAGCGTCTCCTGTGGTTCCTGCCTCTCTCAGAGAATGTGGCCCTCATGTTTGTGCTGTGACTCCCCCTTTGACATCTTTAATAGTAGAGTGAGGAAAGCCCCACTGAGGCTCCACCAAGCAGGTCTCCTTTCTACTCAGGCAGTCATTTTTTGTGTATGAATTCTGCATCCACCATCTTCTCATTTACATCACCCCCTTGTTATTCTACAAGTTTGTTATCAGGAGACACTTGTGCAAGGGTACAGGGTAGGAATATAATTTAAAGACACTCCTGTCACACACTAACATTCTAAGAGGTAGGCAGAAAGGTAAACAAATCTCTATACATTGTTGTGTAGCCACTGAATGGTGTGTTCCTGGAAGAGGGAGCCAGAAGGCCCTTTTTCTACCTCGAGAAATTCTGGAAGCAGTGGCATCTTTACTTGGGCCTTGGCAGTCGTTTTCATACTCTGGTGCTTTCTCTCTCACTCCGTTCCAATTCACTCTGCCCATCAATCCTGCTGGTGCACCGCTACCTCACACCACTGTAATGCTGAAAGATCTGAAACTGGTCTCTTGCCACATCCAGGACAAGGGGCTCTCTGATGGGCAAAAAGGCACTTGGAGTTAGTCTCAACCTGCCTTTGCACACAGCTCTCCACATGTGAGTACATCAGCTCAAGCCAAAAGGGATGCCCTGCAGAACATTCCAGACAGCCTGGAATGTCCTGTCTCTGCCCTTGCTTGTGTCACCCATTGCCAGCCTGAACCACCAAATATGGTTGTTGAGTGCACAAACTGTGCAGCTGTGTCAGCCCTATCTAGCCCCATCAAAATGCTTCTTCCCATCTCATTGTCCACAACAGGCAAGTATACATGCTTAAAAATTGAGAAAAGAACATTACTGATAGGAAAAATGAAATCTACTTTTAACAATATCATAGCTATTTTCTCTAAGAAGCTTTCTCTGGGTTATTCAACAAGACAATTTACGTTACTTACTTGCAAGACCTTGAACTGTTTGATAACTTCATATACGCATCTTCCAGTGTCTACAGCTACACTTTTCTCTCTTATTCCGATTTCTTATTATATTCAGGCATTGCACTAGGTCTTTACCTATTCAATCTCCACCATGAACCTATGAGGTTGATATTACCAAGGAAGATGAGGCTGGATAACTTGCTCAAGACAAAGAGCTAGACGATGGGTCTTAATCCAAGAACCTTTAATTGACTCAATATATATTTCTGGGGGAAAAAAGAGTGGGAAGTTGATTGTGATGGTAAATAGCAGCTGTTCTTCCAGTGAGCACTGAATGTTTCTAGCTTTAAAATGTAACTCAAACCCATGTTGTCTTCTAAGCTGGACCCCAGTTTCAGAATGAGATATTTACCATCTTTCGCATTTCAACTATTCTGTGTTTTCCTCTTCTCAGCAAACCAGTTAGTGGTTGGGCTGTGTTCCTCCTTTACAGAAGTTTTCCAGTGCCCTCAAGCCTCTTATTCTCCTGGCCTACAAGTTGTGCATGATTTTGCCTGTAACATGGGACACTTGTATGCCTCTGGTCCCTAGCTCCCTCCACTACCTTCCAGCACCCCTCCTTTTTCAGGTCTGTGCACTCACTGGTTCCCTATTCAGGGAAAGCTCTTATTCCATCTATATCGCTGCTTGAGTAGCCTACTCTCATCACCTAGGGCACAAATCACCAGTCACCACCTCTGAGACTTTCCTTAAAACAGCTTCGACAGAAGAGGCCCAGTGCTAGCAATAAGGGCAATGAGAAAACAACTTGCAGCTTTTAATCAGAAACTTGTTTTAAACATTTTAGGTGGTACTATGACAATGCAAAGAAGCCCTGATGACACAGTGATTAAAGCACACCTGAACTGGCAGTGGTCTGAACACTAGCTTGCTCCACATGGCAATCAGCTTCCATAAGGACTTATAGCCCAAAAAACACTATAGAGCTGTTCTTTGTTCTACAGCAGCGGTTCTCAACCTGTGGGTCGCGACCTCTTTGGGGGGGGTTGAAGGACCCTTTCCCAGGAGTCACCCGACTCATTACAGTAGCAAAATTAATTATGAAGTAGCAACGGAAATAATTTTATGGTGGGGGGGGGTCACGACAACATAAGGAACTGTATTAAAGGGTTGTGGCATTAGGAAGGTTGAGAACCGCTGCTCTACAGGGTCAATATGAAGTTGGAATCAACTCAAATGGATATGATGCAAAATGACATATTTGGACTCTTCAACAGTAAAACACCCAGGTAACAAGCTTGGCCACCACTTGTCAGTTTGTTGCACTATGGTGGCTTGTGTGTTGCTGTGATACTAAAAGCTATGCCACTGGTACTTCACCCATGGTAGACAGGCTTCAACAGAGCCTACTGACTAAGACAGGCTAGGAAGAAGCAGCTGGTAATCTACTTTTGAAAACCTTCTGACCAGTAGAAGAACAGCAGGTCCCTGCCGGACTCACTCTTCATAAAACAGAGGGTCAGAATTAAGAGGAAGTCCCTCACTGAGATGTCCTGACACAGTAGCTACAATGGGCTCACACATGGCAATGTGTGTGAGGGTGGCGCACGACTGGGCAGTAGTACTTCGATCTCCTGTACACAAGGTTGCTGGATGGCACCTAACAAATTTTTGGAGTTCACAGAACCCATAAGATCACCAAGTTTCCAGTTAAGTACATGTGCATTTTGATGAGGAGAAGTTGGAAGGTCTTCAAAATCCCCAAGGAGAACATGACATCAAGAAAGATTGGTAGGCAACTAGACACCCCCTTACTGAAGGGGTGTGGGGAGGAGATGAGCCAGGCAGAGTGCAGGGTAGCAACGATGAAACATATAACTTTCCTCTAGTTCTTAAATGCTCCCCCCCCCTTCCCCCGACTATTATGATCCCAATTCTACCTTACAAATATGGCTAGACCAGAGGATGTACATTGTTACAGATAGCAACGGGAAACACAGGGAATCCAAGACAGACGACTCCTTCAGGACCAGTAGTGAGAGGGGCGATGCCGGAAGGGTGGAGGGAATGTGGGGTAGAAAGGGGGAACCGATTACAAGAATCTACATATAGCCTCCTCCCTGGGGGATGGACAGCAGAGAAGAGGGTGGGGGGAGACGTCAGACAGTGTAGCTTATGACAAAACAATAATAATTTATGAATTATGAAGGGTTCATGAGGGAGTGGGGAGGGAGAGGGGAAATGAGCAGCTGACATTAAGGGCTAAAGTAGAAGGCAAATGTTTGGAGAATGATGAGGGCAACAAATGTACGTATGTGCTTGACACAATGGATGGATGGATGGATTATGATAAGAATTGTACGAGCCCCCAATAAAATAATTTTTTTAAAAAGAGAAAGATTCAGAACCACTGATCTCGGAAGTTTCACACCCACAATCCTTTTAAAAAGTCATGCATTCATATTGTGTGTGTCATCTAGAATTTTAACAGCCACTGAATTATCAGCCATGTGGTCTAGAAGGAAAAGAAATCATTAGCGATAATATTTAACATAGATCTTTAAAAAATATATTGTTAAGGACCTAGTGCCGGGGTTTAAGTGGAGAGGAAATGTTTTGAGAATGATGAGGGCAATGAATGTACAAATGCGCTTTACATAATTGATGTGTGTATGGATTGTGATAAGAGTTGTATGAGCCCCTAATAAAATAATGATTAAAAAAAAGAGAAAAAAATACATTTTCCTCTGATTATTAATAATCAGAACATGCACTTCACTTTCAAGAAAGAATTAAACATAAAGTACCAAACAGCTGACAGGTATTAACTCATTCAATGAATTAGAAAGCACACTGCCAACCAGGGAGGGTTATTATTTTACTCTACCCATCCTGCTGCAGGCCTGCAGCTTAATCTTGCTTTACCTTGAACCCTCTAGTAATTATTTTAAATGGTTAAGCACTTACCATAATGTGATTGAAATGCCTGCGGTTTGACAACCTGATTACAGTCGTTACACACCACCAAGTAGAAATCATCATGGGCTGGACAGAGACCAAATATTGGCATGTCTGCAACAAAGAGAAAGAGCATTATTCAAATCATCTGGCTATGATTTGATATGAAGCTGGCCATTGGGGGCTAGAGCACTACTTTCTAATAGAGCTGACTAACTACAAAGTGTACCAGGACAAATGATATTCCAGCTTAAACATAATGGACATGACAGACCTTACTATTAGTAGAAAATCTGGCTTACAGAGACATGTGTATAAAGAACTAAAGTAACATTCTCCGAAAATCATTAGTATGAGGTAAAATAGACAAATCTACTAAGATGCAGATGATGAGTATGTGTGCAAAGTGAAGTAACTTTAAATGAATGCTAAAAGGATTCTGGAGAGGAACAAACAAAAACCCACAACTAATAAAATGCTCAGTAATTCATTCACAAAGCTGTACCATCTAGTGGCTTTATTTGCCTAACTGTACATCCTATTCCAGCCATCTGGCCCTGGAGTTCTATGAAACAGTTAAGAAGGAGGCAGAGGTTTCACTGAAGAGTAAAATGGCTAGTTTCTCCAGTGTTCCATACAAAGAAAATTATTTGTATGTATTTTTTTTCCGGCCATGGCAATCTCGACTTCTTTTGCTTATCTACTGATGGCACTGGATACACAAGACTGACCAATAATTCAGCACCATCACCTTACTTTGTATGTTAATTTCACTTCAATTACCAAAACAGGGCAATATACCATTTTCTTTTTTAAATGGTTAAGAAGTCAACTTAAAATGTGAAAGTGAAACTAAACTATCTAGATATACATGAAAACTGAGAGTAACTTAACATCTGGCAATATATGGTTAAATGAAAAATATATCCCAACCAGGAACAACTGTTAACAACAATCTAGGGAACATACCAAGCGCTAAGTTGCTCAGAATCCAAATGCTTCAGAATCATTTCAAACAAGTATTGTACACTGCACACTACTTAGAATACATCCAAGGAATGTACAATTAGACAATGTTTTAGGTAAGCATGCATCAATCTCTGGTGAACTTGGTGGTTTGAAAGGCGGTGGGATGGCTGGGGGGGGGAGGACCTGAGGAGATGTAAAGTGATTATAATCCCTAAAACAACAAATAAACTACGGTGTAATATCTAAGCAAGGCTATAGCTTGGATTTTCCTATTGCACTTAATTGTACAGAGCTGGCTGTCAAGTCTGAAACCTGCCCTGGCTCAAGGTGATTCTAGGATGCATCAGCAACAGTTTCCATGTGCCGTTATCTTATTTTATCCTCACAATATCTAGGTAGATGCCATTATGCGCCGACTTTAAAGAGGAGGAAAATGAGCCACAGAAAAGTGAAGTAATTTGTGTGAGATCAATAAATATCTGGGACTCAAATGGGACTCATAACAGTGACATAAATGTGGTTCCTCTTGAAGATCAGAGAATAATGATTTCTAGAAATCCCATCCACATTTCAATCCCAGTAACTTGGAATCACCAGGGCTGAATACCTTGAATGGGCTGAATTGATTAGATGGCGTAAGCAGCTTCTGGGACACTGGAGACTTCTGGGACTTAAATCAAACAAAGTGCTATCTTCCTCGAAAGCATGGCCACAATGAGTCACTCACAGTGTATGTGGGAGAAGGGAACGGTCTTATCCATGCAGTGATTCACGTGTAATAGGCTATTTTACATGGTTATGGTTCTTTCACTGGGCATTTCACTCTAACCTTTTTAAGTAAATGATCTTAAGTTTCATAATAGCATGTGCTAAATGCCTGATAGAAGGCTATTACTAAAGGCATGGTATGAATTATATAAGTTGTATATCTTTACTAATTTAGATTTTTGAAGGTCGAAACATCTATAAGTAGCAAATCAATTGTTTTGCTTATTAAATCAAATCAATCCGTTTCATAAAACAATTGATTTCAGCTTAGTTTTGGGCCTCTGCTCCTGGCTAGTTTCCCAAAGTACTGAATGTCAAGCAACGTTGCTTGAAATACATCATTTTACCCCAGGTACATCTTGTGACCCTAACTCCTGATTTATAAATACGAGGAAGAGGGGGGAAAAAGCCATACTGATTCTTTCAAGTTATAGATTAAATTGTCACAGTGACCTTTATGTAGAAAATTGTTTTTGCCCTTTGATCCTATTGTGAGACTTAAGAAACATTAGTAACAGCTGTAGTGGTATAGTGGTTACGCATTGAGCTGCGATGTACATGGTCAGCGGTTCAAATCCACCAGCAGCTTTGTGGCGGGAGAAAAGACGGGGCTTTCTACTCCCTTACAGTCACAGAAACCCACAGCGGCTCGCTATGGATGAGCACTGACTAGATGGCACTGAATCTGGTTTGGAGTGAAAGTAAGGGCAAAGGTTATTTCTGTAGGGGAGCAGGACATCTATACGTTTTTAAAAGTTTATATCAATTTAAAAAAATGTTATTTGCCATTGATGATAAAAGAGGAAAAGTTGTTGCTTATTGAGAAAATATTATGTGCCAGGCACCATACTGAGCACTTTTTACATGGCTTATCATTTATTTCCAAGCCATAGAAGATGGAGCTTCAAAAAGTTCATGGGAAAGTAGAATTGAAAGATAATGGAATCTTTCCCCAATCCTTCTGGAGTCCCCTCATATAATTTCCTATTTACTGATGGGGAAGCTAACTTATTTAGAAAGATAGCTGTTTTGCACCACCAGGATGCAAACTGCATTCTCTGTGATTAAGAACAAAGCTCAGTTCTTAAATCTCTCATTAGCACATCCAGAAAAAAGTACATATGCAAATAAACACAGAACCCCTTCGGAAAAGAAACATAGTATATGTAATTCCAGGCCAAGCCACCTCCTGCTGTATTATGAATATATAAAGCAACTTTTAAAGTTTAGTTTCATAAATTCTTTACTTTTAAATATCCATATTTGGAAGTACGCTAGAAGCTACAAAATTTAAGTAAAATGTCTTCTTCAGAAAAAAAGGGAAAATAAAAGTTATATATTCTTCTACTCTGGGACATTCCTGAGGCCTTAGCAACAGGAACAGAGTGCAGGCTGTTGTGGAGACACAAGGAACCGATTTGTGTGAGATAGTGTATTATGTTTTCTCGATACTTTTAAGGCATCAATTCATAATCAAGACCATCTACAAACTAACATATGGAATTTTCCCAAATGCTGGAAAGTTTGATTTATGACAACACAATGTCAAGTTAATAAAAATGAGCTCCTACTGCATTAGTAACATTAACAAAATACACTTTAAATACGTAACAAATAATCTTACTTAAAATAATTAAAAACTTTAAAGTGTCCTTGAACTCATGGATTCTCAACTAACTTTATTATTGTTAAGGCCTTAGATCTCTCTCAGGACTTGGGTTAACCCTATCTAACAATCGTTAGTCACTATTGATTGGGGTGCTAATGGCAAGATCAGCAGTTTGAAGCCATTAGCAGCTCCTGGGGAGAAATAGGGGGCTTTCTACTTCTGTAAAGAGTTAGTCTTGGAAACTCACAGGGTGGTTCAACCCTGCCCTAAAGGGTACTGCTAATGAGATGGCTTTGACCAGACAGCAGAAATTATTTGAGCACCCCTATCTAGGCCAGCAAACTAAGAAGAATGGGGTTTAAACACATGTATGCAAAACTCTACTCCCAGTCAAGCCCTGAATGATAGCTGGTATTCTCCATTACTTTGGTGTTCCTGTCCCTATTTTGAGGACTGTATGACAAAAAACAACACTTGTGTGTCATAGCAAAGTATTTAACTTTTGCATCCCTCCTCCCACACATGCCAAACTTCCACATGTATGTATGACTCCCACATGCCCTTCTCTGGCCTAGACATAGTTCCTAAGCTCTGTCTCAACTCACATATCCAAGTAGCTATTATCTAACACCATTTGAACATCAAACATGTATCTCAACTGAAACGAACTAAAATTTTCTCCCTGCTCTGGTTCCTACACTCTCAAAAGCCTTCCTGTTTTTTTTAACATAACTGCCGCCCCCACCCCCCCAACACACACACCAAACAACCCCCATCACTTCCCCCAACTACTCTAATAAAAAACCTAGGGGTCATTGCCTACATTGTTCTCTCATCACATCTAGCAGCCCTGGTCAGTTCCCAGCCACCAATGTAGGGCCTCCTGTCACCAGTAAGTACCTTTCCACTGGACTTGGAGCCAGCCTTCTGGGTGGTCTACAATCGCTTCCTACAGAACTCAGAGTAAGATTCTTTGAAATCTTCCCCCAGATTATGTCCCCCCTCTTCTTAGAAGTTCTCCAGTTACTTCCTACTCCTCTGGGAATAAAATCCCAACATCACCACTACACGGCACCCCCACCCCCTGCGGTCCTGCCAGATGTGCTGTCCATCTCCTCTGACCTCTGGTTCCTGGGTTCTCTATACTCCCCCTCTGCTCAGGTTCGCTGGCCTTCTTTCTCTCCTCGGGGCCAGAAAGTACATGCCTAGCCAGCCTGGTCCCTCATCCTCACAGGTCTGGCACAGTCACACTTCAGGTCTCTGCTCAGTGTAGTCTTTTTGCTCTGGCCCCTTCCCAATTAGTCATTATTTATCACTGATAAATCTCAAGAGAGTGATTACGAGTGTGGGTTGGGCCATTCTCTGAATTGTCTTTCCCAAGCTACACATCCTTGGGCAAGTTCTATAACCTCTTTGAACTTCAGTTTCCTTGTTCTTCAGTTTCTGTTAATGATGCTCATACTACTTATTTCATAGGGTTATTACAAAGTTTAAGAGAATACACACGAAGCCATAGAAAGATGCCTGGCCCCAGCAAGGGCTCATTTAATGTCTCCCCCATACCCTGTGAGATAGGAGTCATATATTCCCACTGATTTTTTCACACAGAGAAACTTCACAAATAAGTGGGAGAGCCAAAATTTGAACCTAGTTCTAGGCTCAAAGTGCCAAGCCTAGATACTTTGCAATGTCCTCCCCAAAATACTGCTAGATTTGGGCTCCTATGTGCCACTCCCACACCCAGATGACGGCTTGGTTGGCTCCACTT